ACCCGGTCACTGTGGGGCGGGGACAGCGCCTGGAGATCCCCACCCACTGCCCCGGCTGCTGCTGGGACCCAGAGCCAGGGGGACAGGCTCACCCAGTCCACACCACACAGGCCCCCCAGCCCTTCCCCCTGTCCACACCCTTCCCTTAGTGCAGCATTTCCTTTCTTTTATTTTTCCTTTCTTCCTTCTTCTTCTCCTTTTTTCCCCTTAAGTTTTGCTACAGGGCCTGTGCACTCGCTGGAGCGAGATGGAAGACATAGAGAAAAAATAAGAAATCACTCTCTCCCCCAACCCCCAAGTGGGGATGGCCACATTGAAATTCCTTCCCCTCCATCCTCCCAAGATTTGGGGCACACACGCACACACACCCAGAATGATTGTGAAGCCACTGGGTCCGGGACTCGATCTGCAAAGTTGGCTGTGTGGAATCCAGCACCTTAATCCCCACGCCACCTGCTGGCCCCTTGGGTGGCATGTCCTGCAAGGCCAGAGTGGGTCCCGATGGGTCAGATCCTTGGGTCACAGGCGGTCAATGCTCATGGTCAAGGCGGAACTCGAGGTACAAGCGATAAGAGGCCCAGGTTGGTGACAGGGACCTCTCCTCCCTCCACGTACACATGGCCACCTCCTCTCTGCACAGGGACTTCAACACCGGGCATGGACTCTGTCCCCAAAGGAGTCACAGACCATGGGGAGAGAATTATCCTTCCAACCTCAGGAGCTCCTGGTGACAGGAGCTGCAACGTCGTGTGTGTTCGTGTTTTGCATTTCAGAAGAGCCCATTGATAGCTCTATATGCATTTAGATCTTTTATACGTTCGTGGCAGAGTGAACTTCAGATCTCTGTGGAGTTTCCTTCCCTGACCCGTGTTAACGCACTGTGTTAAAGTCTCAGATACCGGGGCCAGCAGGCGGTGTGCTGGTTGGGGCGCTGGACTCCACAGGGCCGCCGGGCTTTGAGCCCCGGACCTGGTGGCTCGCTTTCTCACCTTGCAGTTGCCTGGGTCTCTGGTGGGTGCATGTGCCCTATTTCAAATTTTCAAAATAAAGAGCGCGGCGGGGGCCTCTGCCCTGCGCGCCGCCGGGCCTGCACGTGGCCCCCGAGCCTGCAGCAAACTGAAGCCGAAATCAAGGATTAAGAACTTGCAACTTTAAGCAACAGAAAGAAACTTTAGCTGTCTTAAACCAATGGAGAAACATATCGTATAGGAGGATTTTCTCTACCTATGGACAGTGAGAAGATGATGGTTACCAGCCCTGCATTACCTCAGGGAAAAACAAGAACTACTCTGCCATTCTTAAGGAAGCCAGATACC